AAAAATATAAATTTTAGAGATAAGTGACTTACCATTAAATTAGCAATTTTTACCCATTAACGGGGTTTATTTTTATTTTGAACTTCTTGTAACCCTATGACCATTAGAAATTTGAGTTTCTGGTAGCCTTATTTGCGGTTTTGTTTTGATTCTGCTTTCCGTTTTGCATCGTTTCATTCCGTTTTATTATTTATTACGCAATTGGGTTCTTTAATTTTGAAAAATATATCGGTTTTTATATATCATCTGAAAGAGCTTCGTTTTCTGAGCACAGCGATATTTTTTTTGAACCTACACACTTTCATCTCGATTTTTAAATCAAGATTTAAAGCAAAATAATAACTTCACTGTTTGACACTAAACTAACAAACTGACAGCTTGCTCCCATACAAAGTGACACCAAGGGGCGCTAATAAGGTGATTTTTGCAAATGTAATCGTACGTATTTCAAATAGTTCCAGTGTACCCAAATTGATAAAATTTTGGGTTTGGGTTCCATTTTTAATGCAGATTACGAATATGTATTTACCTCAATACCCTTAAAGAACCCAATTACAGCGGAACCGGAACGGCAGCGCGAAAAGCGGAAAAGCCCAATCTGAGTAAGCCTACTTGTCGGATTGAAAACTATTCAGAACAAAATTGGCTCCGGCTAGGCATCTTGATGTCATTTGTGACAACGGCCAAACTGCTCATAAAGACGATAATGAATAAAAACTGAAAATGTTCATGCATTTCCATATGGTTTCCTACCATTCCCATATATTCAAAAGTGACTGGCCCTCTGGATGTGGATGATGTCAAAAACAACAAAACATGATTAATTGGCGTCTTGTAGTGAAACTTTTCCAAGCTTTCGCCACCTACATTTCGAAGTGAGAACTACTAGAAGGAGGATAGTTTCCAAATTTTCCAAGTAAAACAGACGCTTTTTGGGACAAATCGGTCCATAAAGAAAAACTCATAATGTCCCGTGGAAACTTTTGCTTGAATCGTGTAAGAAACCGTGTTTGAAAACTATTTCTTATTATTTCGGTATGGATCGGAGATGTTTGCATGGCAAATTATGCATAACAAGTTTGCACCCACAGAGAGAGGTTACCTCCTGCGCAGCTGCATTTTTCAGAAAATGGTAAATATGTGCGATTTTCACTAAGATGAAAGTGGAAATTAAGTGAATTTACTTAGGACATGTTATAAATATCATGCTGGTGGTAATAGAGAATTGGTTGTATAGAACGCCAATATTCAATAAATGTTCATTTTGGCCTTTTTTAAGCAAACATATTGATACTCACAATTTTCGACGGAAAACGCACCGGAACTTGATTTACCCAACACGCACCATACTATAAAATGGTGCTAGATGGTCTTCAAAGTGATAACAAGATGACAAATCATCTTTATTTTGAGTAATTGAGCAATTTACTTCTGTTTACCATCATATTTACGATGCAGCATTGATGGAGCCGTGAAATGAAATGAATATATCTTATGAAAGTTTACCTGGAAAAGTCAAAGATGCACATCAGTCTGATCGTAAAAATGTTTTCTTCTTCAATTCGAATGTTATATTGGAAGGATTTCACGCAGGCTTGATGAAAATTATGATTTAATGCTAATTTTCACGAATTTTATATGCAGTCTGTCAACATTATCATCATCATGCAGTGGCGACATCTGCGTTGAGCTTTTGCGGCAATCTTCCAATTGAGTGCATGGGACTTTACCTAGGACTTTACTTACTTATGGCTTCCCACATAGTACCTAGTTGGGTGAAATAAACTTTTTTTCCTTGATTTGTTTTCCGTACTGAATACCAATGCTACCGACGCCCGAGAAGCAGCTTCCTCACCCACCCTTCGTGATCAGAGATTTTGTACCTCAGAAAATCCCGGCGGCGCTTGAGATATAAACTTAATATTGACTATTTTTTTCTTACCGTGTGGTTAAATTTTACTCAACAGTGAGTTGTTTTTGATAGCCTTGTTACGCTCAATTTACAGTGTACTAGTCACCTTTCGCGTCACTAGAGCCGCTAGTGTCGGGAAAAATCGTGTCTTGGGGATAATAGAAGAGTGAACCATATTGTTAATTTATAATATTTGCTGAAGCTCAACAAATTTCTCAGTAGATCTCCGACCCTCTCTGAAACTCAAAAAAAAAAATCTATGTTGGCTCTCAGACCTGCTGTCTGGCATGCTTATTCTTATACAATACATGCTTCGTATGCTTCCTTTTGACGGTTGCCAGTCTCTCTTCTTCGACTGTTTCCTTTTTACGACGATTTTGATCCTCCACATACAAATCAGCGAAGAGAGAGCGTGACAAGACTCTCTGAATGAACTTGTCTCGTTCGCACACGTTGTCTTAGCTGTCAGATGCTTGTCAAGTTCAGTGCCCTTAAGAAACGTTTCAACAAACTGAACGAAAACTTCTTTTGAATTACGAATGAAGTGATAATTGGAAAATTCCCTGAGTGGAACCAAAATTCCCTGAATATTCCAGGTTTTTCCAGAAAAAGTAAAATTCCCTGTAAATTCCCGGTTTTCCAGGTTTTTTTTCAGGTAGTAGACACCCTGGAATGTTTTATAGCGAAATTTGTTGTCTGTATCTCTTCTAATAAAAAAAGATATACCCGAATATAGTAAAAAATATGAATAAATTCAAATTGATTTTATACGAGTTTAAAAACTAACAAAACTCCAATTTTTTCATATTATTGAGAATAAAATACGCCCTTTCAAATGCCGTACTAAATTTTTTTTTTGTTTGCCCCAACCAGAGATATTAACAATTGAAAAGTGCATATTTTTAGCATAAAAACGTCAATAACTCTTGATCGACGAAAGATATTGACAAGCTTTGTGCGGCAAAAATTTGCGCCTTCTGAAGATCTAAAAGTTATTTGAAGACACCTTTGCTGAGAAATTCAAAATAAGAAAACTAGAGCAAAACAACTGTTTTTTTAGAGCCACCCTAACTCAATTCAAGAAAATAGCTCTAAATCGGCCAATTTAAGAGATACAAAAAAGTTGTATTCTACAAAGTTGCTTGAAATTAGCTCAGCTATAACTTAGCCAAAGAATGTTTACCTTAATTTATTCAAACAAATAAGTTAGATTTTTGATTTTAATGATAATAGGAACCACCCTAGAATTCATTGTCATAAAAATGAGGGCATAGCTATAAGGAACAACTTTGCAGGAGAGACTTTTAGTCTAAAGTTTCAATTTCAGGATCAAAACATATCATTCCACCTAAATCTGCATTCTGGACCACTGTGCGTTGTAGGTTGATGAGGAAGTATTCAGAAGTTTTCCAACTAATGGAATCAGATGGAATCTTGAATGATGAATCTTGATTTTTTGGTCAGATTTTTACATTCTCTATAGAGAAGACCCGTGCCTTGGTGATTTAGCTATATTGTCAAAAATTTGCTCTCCAGCAGAGCTGAATTCCGGGCAGAAATGTCAATTTCTGAATATAGGGGAAATGTTGGTAATGTCGGTCTTAATGTCCCTAATTTGGGCCCATACATAAATTCAGCAATTGATTAAATTTTCAATAGCGACCAAAAATATCCATTAGTGCCGTCTCAATGACGCGTTCATCTAGATAAAATTGATAAATAGCTGATTTTAGCGATGGGCCCAATCTTAGATCCATGGGCCAACATTAGAGCCATTTCCCCTACCTAATATTATAAATTTCTTTCTTTTCGATTAATAGTATGCCCGGAATTCAGCTGCAAGATAGTTTGCATGGATTAGCACATAAAAAAATCCGTGCTTTTTGTGTGTATTTTTTGATTAAATAAATTACCTGAAAAAGCTCTTACCTGTATAAAGTACGTGTAAATAATAAATAATAAATAATAATTTTAACATTCACAATGTTAAGAATTGTGCATCTGCAGCATAAGCATGAATTACGTACGTACGTTGGATTTGTTAGTTATTTCGACGCTTTTGGGCAATACTTGACATTTCCCATTTTTTCAATAGTATATTGTTAAAAATCAACAGTCATACATGCGCAGAAATATTTCTGATCGACTGGTGATAAAATTATTGATATTGGTCCAGGGGCAGTTGAGTTATTTACGTTCAAAATATATCATAATTTCGTTACATGTTCCGTTTTCGGTTTTCACAAAGTGTACCCCCATATAGAAATCACAGACGTAGTCCTACTTCAAACAATTGTGCATCTTGAACATTTTCCTATGTCCTAAATGTATTAAATTTATTCTGTGTGCACTTTACCTTGAAACAGCCAGAATTTTATAAAATTATAAAATTCAAACTCCTAGAATTTAATTTTGGTAACTATGCCTAAGCTTTGACTGATGGTTATATATTCAAAATAAAAAAAAGCTAGTTACAAAATTCATGAAATTACCTAACTCTGAGATATTTCTTAAGTATGAGATGCTTACATTTACAAGATCCGAACTGTGATTTCATTACAAAAACCATGAACAAACGATCATTGCTTGTTCAAAATCAGTAAGCGTTTAAGGCTCTCCCAATAGAGCTCCCAATCGTTGTTATGGAATAAATATAATCAAATTTATTGTTTCACCATTAAAATAATAGTAAGCCTCAATGTCATATTATCGGTCACAGAAAAAAAAAAATGTGCCCAAAAATAAGTTGCCTTGGACGCAATTTGAGTGAGTTTTTAATAAACCGTATTTTTGCAAAATTAAAAAAGTGCAGCAGGCCCCCCTTAGGCCCCCTCCACATACATTTTCTAGCTACGCCAATGTTTATTGATGGATTATGAGTCTCCTAATATAAATTTATGCACTTATGAAGCATTGCTCCTTAATTATGAGCTAAGTGTATAGAAATGCTAGTGTGTAGTAAATGCTATATTCAGGGATGGAACCTAAGTAAAAGTGTGTTAGTTACTGTTATTATCAATAATTCCAACAGATGCATCCTCACACAAAAAAAAAACTGACACCTCTCAGCAAACGCAGCGCTACCTACCATGAGGAATGATCGATGTCCAGCGTTCCGCCTAACCGCACTGGCAGCGAGTCCCGGGGCACATGCAAGCTCAGCTGTGGTATCGACACGGTAAACACCCGCTCCCGTAGTTTTTCCCGCACGAACAACCGAAGGATCTTGAACGGGGCCTTAAACCATAGCGGGGCAGTCACGATCAGTACTTTCTTCAGCCTCGCCGGATAGCCACCCTGTGGGAGAGAAGGATAATAAAATACGGGTAAATAAATCGAGTTAATTCTGGTTTAGCGCAGCGGGGGAAATAGAGAAAAGTTTATTTTGCTATCTAGAGTGGAAAACGGATCGGAAAAACAAATAATCCAGACGCCATGTGCTCATATTATGAATAATGCACCGGTTTCAGATCGTCAATGCTACACGCATGCGGTCGATATCATTTTCCAATGTTGAAGATAGGTTCCTATAGGTATGTTCATAAACAGGGACGACCATCCACAGCACGACGAAGGGCATCAGCAGTGAGGCCAATGTCGTTGTCAGGCATATCGGCAGACGAGCCGCCGTGGGTGGAGAGGTGGGAGCTTTTCAGGAAGGCCATGTTGGTTCGTTCTTAGGCACAGGACGGATGGCAACGCACAGAGCGGAGAAAGTTTTCTTGTTTGTTTTAGCAATGACAAAAGGTGAAATTAACCGTTTTCCACCCACGATTTCAGACCGAGACATTGGGAGGCAAAAGGTCGCACCCGGGTGCGAGTGGAAGAGTAAATATTGATTTTGTATGACGAGCAAAGGTCTTGGTTGGTGGTCGGTTACAGGACGCTATTGCGTAGTATGGTTGTGGGGATTAGCGAGAAAATTCTACATAGATGGCATGTCGGATTGACGGTGGATTCTAGTAAATTGCAACTGGGAGAAATTTCTCAACAAGATACTTCATCAGTAATTTGCTTTCAAAGCTTTAGCTTTTGAATTGACATGAACAAACTCGTGACACACAAACCCACTGGCGCGAGTGCGAGAAATAGACCACTAAGTAGAATAGTAGATGTGTTTTCTGTATATTATTTTTCTTTGAGCATTCCCAGGGAGCGCTATTGTTTACCCACATTCATAGCTCTGACCTGACTCAGAACTGTCGTCAGGGGAAAAAGAATGGTGCATATGAATGAATGGTATACAATTTTTACTCGGTAATGCATGCTAGATAAATAGAGCAAAAATACATTTTCAGGATTGCTTTGGCCTCGGGGCGGTTTGTGTCCTGGTTTTGTCTCGGGTATTTCTGAACAGGGATAAGACCCGTCAACAACTGCTACGACATGGAATACCGATGTGCATACAAGAACGAAGAACTATATGTGTATAAAGAATAGGTGTACTGATTTAGAAATTAAAACTTGTTTAGATAGCAAATAAGAAGTAAGGCGTTAATATGACGATTATAAAACGTTTTCCATCAGATTTATCAAATTTTAAGATGATCAGTAAGTTAGAAAGGCACACGTAAACTAAGTCTGAGCGAACCGTTTTCAGATATCAATAATCCATAATTTGCATTAATTCTATCACGAAATTATGTCTTGAGAAGTTAAACTTGAAAAATCAGAAGGTCACCCGCTTTTCAAACACTCCGACGAACACGATGCCTTCGGTAAAAGGTGTAACGGGAAACTTGCAAATCTATTGGTGCTATTTGAAACTACATACTTTAAAGATTTATTCGGTATCAATAAATTTAAAATTTGTCGATAAATTGCTGAGCAATGATTATTCAAACATTGTCAATTAGCCGTCACGTGTTAGGAGTGTTAATTAACCTTCCTACGGTGAGCTTTTTAAGTGTGTTGATTTATTTCCCTTTAGTTCCGTTAAAATTGCTTATCTTTTGACAGCTACACGTAATGCGTCTACTACTTGCAGACTTCATCAGTGCCAAGCACTCAACACCAAGTACTTGGCACTGATAAAGCCTGCAAATAGAAAACGAAATAGGCGTATCTGTCAAAAGATAAGCAATTATAACGGAATTCAAAGAAAATAAATCAACACACTCAAAAGGCTCTTCATAAAGGGATTCCGTTAAGAGGTTCGACAAAACTGAAAGATTATTCCTGCACAGCAAAACATAAATTTTAATATTACATCCAAGAGGATGCACTTCAATCATATCGAAAATCTCATGTAATTCTTATGACCACAAAAATAAACAAATGCAGTAAAAGCAGCGGAATGTCAGTTCATGCATTGTATTAATCATAATTTTGTCCTTTTTTAGACTGTTGACATAGCCTCTGATGAATTCTCAATGAGATTCTGCGAATTTTGAGGTGTCGCACGACATGGTCCCATGAAAATTATAAATTGGCCACCTTTCCAGGGCTCCCGGAACGTGTTTCGAGACCACCGAATAGCCAATGTTGCCCCGGACAAGTTGCCATGGCCTCTGATGAATTCTTCATGAAATTCAGCAAATTTTGAGGAGCCGCACGACTTGGTTCTATGAAAATGATAAACTGGCCACATGTAAGGCCTGTACTCGAAAAAAAAAAATGCACCAGACAAAAGTGTTCGCCAAAAATTTATTTTAAGTCAGATTTTCTTGAAACTTTCAGGGAACGAACAAATACATATGGATTATGTTTCGGCATAATTACTTTATTCAATTTCCTTTCCATCGCTGAAAGCCCGCACTTTTCTCTTAAGACCCCTCACTAAATTTTGTGCAATGGTTGAGCCGACCTTTTTGGTCACATTCATCCATTCTTTCTTCAACTCCAGCTCGTTCTTAAACACCTTGAACGATTTTTTTTACGGCTTCCACCGGAAGAGTCCTGCATCTTCTCCTGGCAGTTGATTCCGATTTAACTAGACTTGATCTGGAAGTTTCTTCTGACTGACATTGGCCAATTCTAACGATTTATCTTGAAAGCTTCTTCCTAGTTCCTCCAGAGGCCACGGAAATGTCTGCCTACTTCTTATGGAAGTTTTTCTAAACTTTTTCTGAACGTTTTTTTCCGACTTGCCCCGCAAATTTCTTACGTCATGGATGTCGGAAGTCTGTCAGCTTCCTCTCGAAGTTTGTGCTTACTTTCTCCGGATGTTTTTTTTTTCTGACTGCTCTGGAAGCTCTTTCCAACCTCGTCTCAAAGTTTCCATCAGCATCCATTCGAAATGTCTTTTAATTTGTTGATAGTTCTTCACAGAGTTAATTTCCCAGGCATGTTATGTTTAGAATTTTTCCGCAAAGAATGTATATTTAGCATGCTTTTTTAAGCTTTCATAGAATTTGGTGAAATTAGCGGAAATTGATTTCCAGGATGTCACTGGTGCTTCAATAACAAATAGCTTTTTTAAATTGCATAATGTTTTACAAACTTCCCATCCCCAACAGAAATCCTGGCTGCGCCACTGTCGTAACCTTCTCCGATCGTCCATTGTGGATCTTGTAATTTTTTATCAAAATTGCGTCTTTGACATTTTTCAATAAATTGTAGCACGAAAACGTTACTTCTGATCGAAATGACGACTGATACAAAGTTGTAGAGAAAAACAAAATCTTGCTGGGATTTTACTTTTCAGTGAAATTAAAAAAAAAAGTGTTAAAAAACGCAAATATTTCAAAAAGTATATCTTCAATTTTTATAACATAAAAAAAACTCATATCTTGCAAATTTTTGGAATATTTGAAACCATGGACACTTGAAAATTGTCTAAATTTGTTAGCAAGCTTTTTATGCAATGTTGGCACAGAAACGATTTAGAACAGGGTGTCGACTCAATGAAGTAATCCAATTCTCTGATATTTCCTGATTTTCCAGTCGTATTTAAAAAAAAAATCCAGGTATAGAAAACTATCAACCATTTTCATAATTCACAAGTCTAAATAGAGCTGAAATTAGGGCGTAACAGCTTTTGTAAACAATGACTTCTCTCGATGATTTCTAAGATTTCAAGGCACGCCTACATAAAGCAACATATCCATCGAGTAGGGGAAGTCTTCCCCTACTCGAAGGGGATGTCGATTTGCCAGGAAGAGCCATGACTTTCGAGAAATCATCGAGAGAAGACATTGTTTACAAAAGCTGTTTCGCCCTAATTCCAGCTCTATCTAGAAGTGTTGAAAGTACCAGAAAATCACTACTAACCAGTGTTACTATAATTTATAGCGATGTGCAAAAAACTGTAACCACAACCATCTTCATATCAATAAGCAAACCCGACTTGCTTAATCAGCGTAATGATGTCATCATGTTCATGATCCGTTTCTTACCTCGATTTACTCCATGTTACGAGGAGAGGTCCTGACTGTTTCCGAACTTTACGCTAAAGGTAGAAATTCATCTGGTTCCCCTCCATATATCATTTGAAACACTTGTCTTTAATCCCGTTATAACATATATTCCTTGAGCACATGTCGAGACCCAGCTGAGCAAGAAAATCATTCAGGGTAGTACACTAGTTTCAGCAAACCAATTGCCGAGATTTTCACCGCCAAGTGCTTGGCAACCATTTCGGCAAAAGATAAGCTTGCTGGGCAATTCGGTAATCCTAAAGTAGGCAGTTTTATTTTTTTGCCACAACATAATTGATTTGCTTCTCTTGACAGACAGACAGCATTCAAAACGGATTGAAACTGCAGCTGCGAAAAACCTGTGCAACAACTTGTTGTATGGCAAGCACGCGATTTTAGAAATGGTGAATCAGGTGATGAACACCATTTAGACGGGAATAAAAGCTGGAAGATTGTTTATTTCTACCTAAATCATCAACTTATTCCGGACAAGCAAAAATTCATCTCCTGCCATCACTATCTGTGAACTTAAAGCATAATTAAAGCTATTTTCATGTAAGAAATGGAACACTCCGAATCTTTTTTTTTCCTCTGTTCGGGACCTAACACTACTGCGACCACTAAATTGATCTATTTTAGTATATCCCGTCTCCTTAGTTTAGTGCATGTCGTATTACTCCATCATTTTTCAATAATGAAGTATTCGCTTTTTTTTTACAGTTGCCATTTATCGCAAGGATCCGCCTTTAATTATACCCTTCGGAGTGTTGAAACACCCTCTAAAGGCGCGCCCCTTTGTCAGTCAAAATTGGATTCCTTAGCAACAAAATTAAGGTATGACACTGATAATGACCATGCATCAGAACCCTAGTCCCCTAGGGAACAACGAATAGAAGATTAGGAATCACATAGATGAAGACAACTAACTCATTTTTTCCT